TGGCTTGTGCTCCCAACCTTGAGGTCAGGGGTTTGAAACTCTCGCTGTTTATTTCGCTTGTGTTCTTGGGCAAGGCACTTGTCTCTCTCCACCCAGGAGTACAAGGGAGTATCTGGCAGGTTCAAACGCAACCATGCGCTGATTACAGCTGCAATATTATGAAATTCTCCCAAGGGACCTGAGTATGTGTTCCATATGTGCTTGATCCAATGACCAGGGGTAATAATGCTAAGCGCATGGAAGATGTCTCTACAATATGCGCTATGTAAGTCGACAATAATAATAATAATAACAATAACAACAACAACAACAACAACAGCAGCAGCAGCAGCAACAACAACAACAACAACAATTATTATTATTATTATTATTATTATTATTATTATTATATAATAATAATAATTATTATTATTTATTATTATATTATTACTGTATTATTATTATTATTATTATTATTATTATTATTATTATTATTATTATTATTATTATTATTATTATTATTAATTATTATTAATATTATTAAGAAGAAGAAGAAGAAGATGTACCAGCGGATGGAGAACCGGACTCAGGTAAAATTAGTCAATTTAAAAAAAAAAAGTTACCGTAGTAGAATTGACTGAACATTAGATCTAAAAGAGTAGCTAAGATTAAACGACACTTACAGACTAACACATATTATTGATACACAAGCTTTCGACCACATAGTAGTCTTCAGTATTACTAGTTACTGCTGTTTATCATTTAGATTAACAAGCTACTTTTTTCTTTTTTAGAACTACTGTATTGTTAAGTTAAGCTTACCATGGTGTAAGCAAGTGGTACTGTAAGTTATGGCAACACAGAGGGCGCTCGGTATTGTGCTGTTCCTTATCCATGGCAACATTGTATTATTTTCAATTCATGATTTACGTTCACGCTCGTCTCGATCACGAACCATCAAGGAAGTGATTTCTGCGGTGAATTTATGATTTAATATAAATATGGTCAACCATTGATATGCCACACTTGTAACATGCTTGGCCATAAAATGCACTATTGCCCTTATTAAGACCAATGGAAAATAGACTACTTTGGATAAAAAGCAAAGTTCATCAAAAAGAATAGAATGGCGGGATCATCGATACTCTTATAAACTATGGGATGCTAATCTGGAAAAAGGAGAGCTACTACGACAATTGGTTGGAAGAAATTATGCAAATGCTTTTAGATAAAACTGCATTTAGATTAAAATTGCTTACAAAGGTGAGCGCAATCGTGAAGATTTCTGGACTAATTAAAAAGGTAAAAATAAAAAAAAATATTCAGTTGGCTCTTATAAACTGCCTAACTCTGACAACATAACTACCGATAGGTCTAAAATAAATCTCATTGTCCTCCAAAATTGGAGAACTCTTAAATAAACTTAAACTTATTAGTTAAAGAGACTGATATCTCAAATATAAAAAGAAAAATAAAAGACAAATAGTTATTAATGAAGATGAATGCCAACATAAATTCGCTAAAGAAAATCAACTTAATCAAATTGATTTTACTTTTAGATGATGTAATTGGTGTCATTGCCGGTGCAAAAACAACAAAGCACCACGACATTTTTTTCTTTTGTGGGAATTTCACCCACATTTATTCATTTCCACATTTCATTTTATACATCTAAATAGACATATTACAATACAGCATTACCGACTATTTTACATATATCTTGTACTGGTACTGGTACGGACTTCCACAGTAACTTGTCTTTTGCTACCGAATCACTGACAAACATTAAATCGTTATGAAACAATGTTACTAGATTATAACCCTGACTTTCACGTTTACATCGACAAATAGAATATATTTTGCGATTAGAATCGCCCTGTTTATAAAATCAAAGTTATAAATGGTCATCGATAAGTATCCACATAATCTCCGTCATTTCAAATGTTAATCGTTTATCATATTTTCGAAAGAAAAATGTTTTCGACTTCTTTCCAAATACAGTTGGTACTCGGGCAATCAAAAATAAAATGCTCAATGTACTGCACATTGAATCATTGTTAGATTCTGCAATGCCAAATTTAAGGAGCAACACATTTGTCGGGTTTCCAGTTGGTTGAAAATACGCTGGGGTTATAACTATAGGCCTTATATAAGTTTTCCAAATCAAAAACAAAATCATTAAATTTACGTTCCCAGTGAGTTTGACATTTTGGGTTACGGAATATTTTGTTTATGCTTTCTTATTTAATAATTTTGTTGTGACAGTTGAAAGATCAACGAATTTATCATTTACTAATAATAATAATCGGATTATTGTTTGATAAATTCTATCTTCTATGTTCTCTAACCATAGCCTGGGAAACGCTTCTGATACTATAAAATATATCATTAAAATTATTTTTGTTTTCAATTATTGTTTTATAATTTTCAAATGTTTTGAGTTCATTTTTTGAATAAATAAATCTTACACATATATTCAGTCTTTTTTTTTTATCCACTTTATAAAGTAAAATTGTTTATTAGCCTCCCCAAAGGCTATTGTTTTTACCTTTATTTTCTTCTTCATGTTATCGTTGACGTTGTCGTCGCCGATAACTAAAGTTTGGTAAATCCGATTGGTTTGAAACTTGACAGAATGCAAGATGGTAATAAGAATACGGAGCCTATTGTTTTTGTTACATGTGTGAATATGCTAATTGCTTATTTGCATAATTAATATTTCATTATTCAAGTAATTTAGGCTATTTACCATGATTAATAAAGTTTGTTAAGTCCGATTGGTTTCAAACTTGGTAGAATGCAAGATGGTAATAAGAAGGCGGAGTTATATTAAGTCGTTTTCTACGCAGTGTTTTAATTAAGTACAGTATTTGAATTTATTTGTTACCCTACGTTATTTTAATTTAAATTCTATGTTGTATGTTATACTCTTATTCTGTTTAAAAGCGAAGTTTCAAATAAAGATTATTATTATTATTATTACGCGCGTGAATGCTACTTGCTCATTTGCTACATGCTCATTTGCATAACTAATGCTGTTTTAATAATCAAAAAATTTATGCTAAATCCCATCATAATTCAAAAAATATAGTTACTTCAGGTTAAATTAAAAATTGTTTTTTTTTTCATTTTGTTGTCATTGTCGCTGTTGTAGAAAATTGTTACCTCGATAACTAAATTTTAGTAAGTCTGATTGGTTTTGAACTCCTACTTATCAATTCTCAGAGAAGGATAACAGCGTGGGGAGGCTATGCTTTTACTGCGCAGCGTAAAAGGAGCATTTCTAATTTCTATAGCTAATACATACATTACACCATATCACTTGATTGCCAATACACTGTGTTTCATTTACG